ACAGTATGCCTGTAATTAAATACTAAATTTACCAGCTAACAGTTAAAGCTTTTAATCCTTCGATAAATTTTGATGACTTTCAAGCTTAAAGAGTATTTTTAATTATTATCAGGCCATGTCAAACAAATTTTCTGACTTTTATTTTTATGTTTTAAAAAGCGTAAAAAAAAGCACACAACAATAATCTTTGGCTTGTGATGAATTTATCAATTAAAACAGCGAAAATAAACCCAAGACTTTAAGAATCTGAGTCTAAATATTTAAATAAACTACTGTTTAGCAGTATTAGCGGTATTACTTTAAAAAATGATACCGACAAAGGTAACTAAAATTAATTTTTGTCAAGAAATTGAATAATTATTAATCAGAACGAAATGCACATTTCCTTAAATACTATTGAATTTGTATGGGTGATGAATCTGGCAAACGCAAGCATACCCTTGGCCCCATGAAATAATAATGGAATGTGCCATTCAGTATGTCAAAGTGATTGTAAGTTATAATTAATTCCAATATATTTCTGGTCTATACTGAAATAGACATCAATAAGGGATAAAAATAAATATTTGCAAAAAATAGCTGGCTGTAAATTTTTAAAATACTTCAATATAATTAAATTTGACACTTTGTAGATATATTGTTGAAAAAAATTGGTAATGAGGAAGGCATGTAACTATGGCGATAAAACACATTGAAATGACAGCATCAGAGAATACATGGTGATTAGAGGTAAAGTGGGGGATGAGGTCAGAGATGTGGTGAGGGAAGGAGAATGGTTAATTCTTATAATTCTTGCAGGTGAAAGATGAACAGGTGGTTGGAAACGAGACCATTGGACAAAGAACGTTGGTAAAAGAACGGCGGGTCAGAGTGTTGTATTGTTTTGGTCAGTAGTCATACATCGATAAAAATAACATTTTCACGAGATTGACTATATTCTAGACTATAAACAACTTGCACATTCTAAGATAGTTAATGCTTTGAGCAACACTGCAGCAATAGTTATCCAGCGACATTATTACGACTTCACAGAAGCAATCGATCTCTAGAGGGCGCAACATACAGGAAAAGTGTGTTGGTCAGTCATTGGTTAAAAGTTGATGGTGATGAGCTCAAAAACGACAGAAAGGGCAGGAATATCTATACATATTGTCTAATTAATGTAAATTTTAGTACTGTACTCATTTCTTGCATACAATTTGATACATTATAAGGCTGGCAAGTCAGATTTAAAAATTCTGTTCAAAATTGGCATTTTGTGTTTTTAAAAAAATCCTTGAAGCTATGTACAACTTTTTTTTTTACAATTAAAAGCAAACAATTTTGGCGAAGTAATTGCTTAAAAAGGAAAAAAAAAATGTTGCCAGTCTGGTGGATTTGTCTACACACTTGGTGTCTCGGCTTTTAACATTAATCCTATTGTAGAGTCATTCTGTTTTGGTTTCTTATTAATCGCTTTACTGAATCCAATTCTGTAATAAAAAAAAACAATATAAAGGTTAGACCCAAACCTAATTAAGAACAAATTAGGGCAAAATATTCTGATAGTGAAAAGGGTTGAGATGAAAAACTGACAATATATAGATAATTTTTCAGTTCATTTTTTTTTTTCATTTACTTGATGGAACTTTTCACTGAGTAAAATATCAAAAATGATTTTTAAAAAATTCACATTTGTTGGTCAAGTGCATGCTTAATGAAAGTCTTAGTAAATATGCATAAATGATACTTACATTGCTTCAAACTCATCCAGGTTTTGGGGCAAGTTTTGGTTTTTAGTTTCTGGCAATACCAATGAAAGTAACCCCATGACAACAAGCAGGAAACTAAATACAATGAATGGCAAAGGCTTCCAGAGTTCATCCAACTTCAGAATAAAAGGTGCCAATATTGTACCAATAGAGGAGAAGGCATAGGTTACACCAACTCCAACATTTCTGAGAGAAAAAGGAGAATAGGTATTTTCAGGATATTAAATGCTATAAAGACTAGAAATTTCTTTACCCTTCCCTAACACTTCGGCTATTGCATGTGTGCCCCCACAATACATCCAGCATTTCCCAAAAAAGGCGGTAGTCGTCGCGCTGCGCATGTGCGAAATTTGTGTTGATAAATATTGATTTTCCCACAATCTAATGCACTCTTCTAATGGAAATCACAAGTAGAGATTCGATCTGGACGCGACTAGCACTAATTACCGCCCTTGACTCCTTCGATACCTTCCAAACACCTAAAAAATACCTGATTAAAGCTTGGTGACATCTCAGTTCGTACTCGTTGATCTGTGCAACAGTCAAAGTCGCCATCTTTGTTTATACTAACGAGATCCATATATCTTATGCATGCGTGGCGCGGCGACTACCAATCTTAAACACTGTACATTCCCCATACAGTGTATAGTTATAAATTTGAATATAAATACCAAAAATTGAATTTATGCAATTATCATTCACCATTCAATCATTATGCAATACCCCATTTAGAATCATGGTAGGTGGCTGAAGAATTTATTTAAAAAATTTCGGCGAAAAAAAACACTGGTTGCACTCTTCAACCCTCCACCCCCATGATTTCAAATGGTAAGCTCCTTAGTAACCAGAAACTAACCTGATGTCTGTTGGTAACATCTCCAATGTAATAAGTATCACAATAACGTAAGACATTGACAGGAAGAATTTGGAGATCACTGCAAAAGTGGCACTTACCATCGGATGAACTGAAAAATTAAATTAGATTTAACCATATAAGGTAAGAATTGAAATAATCATTTATGTAACTTAAAGCGGGGGAGTTGTCAGCTGCGCATGCATCAGATGGCCATAGTGTGTCATTGTTTTTAAGCAATCTTCTACCCATGAGCCTTTGCATTTTCAGCGTGTGTTGTTATCGTGTGGGACTCAATTCCTGCCCGTACGCAGGTGACAACCTACTTGCTTTAATATTAAATTCACTGTAACTATTAATACTTTTACAGCATAGCTCTTCCATGTAATAACCTAAAGTTGCCACAAGAGGGCACAAAATCAATTGATAGAGGGTGCTATACTACTAACCTGAAAATGCAGCCGTTAGAACTGCTATCCCAGCAAACATTAAAGCAGCTGCAATTATCTTGCGTCTACCAAAAACTGATACAAGCCACCATGCTAGAATACATGCTGAAATCTTAATAATTCCTGATATTATAGGACGGACAAATGTAGATACTGGTAGTAAGGCTGCCTTTATGAAAATAGCATAGTATGTACA